CCTACAAGTAAATTATTAATGTACTGGGTCAATAATTCAAATTTTCAGAGATTTTTAACTATTATTAGTTATCATATGCATTTGACCAGAAGTGGGATAATGCCTTTAAAACCTACAGTTTATGGAATTTCCACAAGCTGTCTGGGCTGATGATATAGAAATAGCATTTCAAACCTCTGAGCAAATTATTAATGTACTGGGTCTATAATTCTATTTTACAGAGATTTTTAACTATTATTATTAATCACGTGCCTTTGACCAGAAGTGGGATAATGCCTTTAAAACCTACAGTTTATGGAATTTCAAGAAGTTATCTTGGCTGATGATAGGAAATAGCATTTCAAACCTACAAGTAAACTATTAATGTACTGGGTCAATAATTCAAATTTTCAGAGATATTTAACTATTATTATTAATCACATGCATTTGACCAGAAGTGGGATAATGCCTTTAAAACCTACAGTTTATGGAATTTCCAGAAGCTGTTTTGGCTGATGATATAGATTAGCATTACAAACCTCTGAGCAAATTATGAATGTACTGGGTCTATAATTCTATTTTACAGAGATTTTTAACTATTATTATTAATCACATGCATTTGACCAGAAGTGGGATAATGCCTTTAAAACCTACAGTTTATGGAATTTCAAGAAGTTGTCTTGGCTGATGATATAGAATAGCATTTCAAACCTCTACAAGCAAATTATGAATGTACTGGGTCAATAATTCAAATTTTACAGAGATTTTAACTATTATTATTAATCACGTGCCTTTGACCAGAAGTGGGATAATGCCTTTAAAACCTACAGTTTATGGAATTTCAAGAAGTTATCTTGGCTGATGATAGGAAATAGCATTTCAAACCTACAAGTAAATTATTAATGTACTGGGTCAATAATTCAAATTTTCAGAGATTTTTAACTATTATTATTTATCATATGCATTTGACCAGAAGTGGGATAATGCCTTTAAAACCTACAGTTTATGGAATTTCCAGAAGCTGTCTGGGCTGATGATATAGATTAGCATTTCAAACCTCTGAGCAAATTATGAATGTACTGGGTCTATAATTCTATTTTACAGAGATTTTTAACTATTATTATTAATCACGTGCCTTTGACCAGAAGTGGGATAATGCCTTTAAAACCTACAGTTTATGGAATTTCAAGAAGTTATCTTGGCTGATGATAGTAAATAGCATTTCAAACCTACAAGTAAATTATGAATGAACTGGGTCAATAATTCAAATTTTCAGAGATTTTTAACTATTATTATTAATCACATGCATTTGACCAGAAGTGGGATAATGCCTTTAAAACCTACAGTTTATGGAATTTCAAGAAGTTATCTTGGCTGATGATAGTAAATAGCATTTCAAACCTACAAGCAAATTATGAATGTACTGGGTCAATAATTCAAATTTTCAGAGATTTTTAACTATTATTATTAATCACATGCCTTTGACCAGAAGTGGGATAATGCCTTTAAAACCTACAGTTTATGGAATTTCAAATTATGAAAGCCTATTTCTTTGAGCTGATGATATTAAATTAGTATTTCAAACCTGTCAAAGTAAATTACCAGAAATAACACATTACTGGGTCAATAATTCAAATTTTCAGAGATTTTAACTATTATTATTAGAGATTTTCATTATTGCATGCATTTGACCAGAAGTGGGATAATGCCTTTAAAACCTACAGTTTATGGAATTTCAAGAAGTTATCTGGGCTGATGATAGTAAATAGCATTTCAAACCTACAAGCAAATTATGAATGTACTGGGTCAATAATTCAAATTTTCAGAGATTTTTAACTATTATTATTAATCACGTGCCTTTGACCAGAAGTGGGATAATGCCTTTAAAACCTACAGTTTATGGAATTTCAAGAAGTTATCTTGGCTGATGATAGTAAATAGCATTTCAAACCTACAAGCAAATTATTAATGTACTGGGTCAATAATTCAAATTTTCAGAGATTTTTAACTATTATTATTAATCACGTGCCTTTGAGCAGAAGTAGGATAATGTCTTTAAAACCTACAGTTTATACAATTTCAAAATGGTATCTGGGCTGATGATATTGAATAACATTTCAAACCTGTGAGCAAATTATGAATGTACTGGGTCAATAGTTCTTATTTTCAGAGACTTTTAACTGTTATCATGAATGACATGCCCTTTGCCCGAAGTGGGATAAAGCCTTTAAAACTTACAGTTTATGGAATTTCAAGATTTCCTCTGAGCTTATAGTGGTAAATAACAATTCCAACTTGTCAGCAAATTCTGAATGAAATAATAGTATAGCATTAATAATGAAATAGTAATAATGATACTCACATGTCCTTAACCAAGAGTGGGAATATGCCTTAAAATCTACAGTTGGATGTATTGTATGAGAAGGGTTGATTGTTAGCACACTATTAATGTATTAGTGATTTGCATGTAGTAACCTTTAGTATTTTGAGGGAAACAGTGATTGTGCAATGTTTGATTTGTGTCTAAACTGTGTGCTGTGCGTGATGCCCTTGAAGGGTGATAGTTATTTGACTCAAGCTGAATGGGTGTGAGTGTGTAAACTGTTAGGTTCATGTTATATCTATCTGGTAAAGTTATTATGGCGTTCTTATTCCTTGTTGTGACAATATCTGCTTGAGTAAAGTTGAAAATTACAGTTATCGAATCTAAAGATTCCTCATGGCTGTTGATAGTATTTAGTCATAAGTGAAACTTGTGAAACAGAGTCTACATGCAACAGGTCAATATTGCCAATGTTTAGAGATTTTAAAACTATTTTATACTATTCATATGCCCTTAATTAGATAAAGGAAAACAACTTTAAAATCTGATGATAGTAGATCATATTTCAGACATGTAGAAAGCAGACTATGAAAGCAAATAGGCCATTAATTAGTACAACTTTAAGAGAGTTAACTTGATTTAATCCTGTATGCCTTTGACCAGGAGAGGGATAATGTCTCCTAAGTCTAATACTAACAGAATAATCTGACATTTAAAATTGTGGGCTGAATCTTGAACAGGACAATATCTCTTATTTTCAGAGAATCTGTACAATATTAGTATAATACATACAGATTCAACCAGAAGAGGGATAACACCATAAAATTACAATCAATGGAATCTTCTGATTTCATTTTGGCTGCTCATAGCAAATCACACTTCATATTTAAGAGCACACTGGGCTGATCTACAGTACTAATTTTAAGAGATTTGTTTAATAGTATTACTTATATTCCCTCAACCAAATGTGTTTGAAGTGGAACAAGTTTAAAATCTATATTTTAATGGAATTTATTATTTTCTTTTGGGTTCTTATACTTCATACTTATGGGCAAAATCTAAAAGCAGTGGGGCAATATTGCATGTTTTAATTTCCTTGACTACATTTATCACACAAATTCCCTAATCCAAAGCTGGCATAAATTGTTTTTGCTTGTTTGTTGTTTGTTGCTACACAATATTCTAGCTACATGATATCTGTAAATAACTGAGTTTGTACCAGACAATCCAGTTATTGAGATCATAAGCAGCCACACATGCAATCATTGAGACTTGATTCTAAACAATGACTAAGTCATTGAGCCTGACAACCATATCCACATCAGGTAGCATTGGTTTCTGGGGAAAATTACACACAAAAAAGTAAATATGAAGGCATCATTTACCTTGACAGTTTCATCTCAGTAACAATATGTCATCAAAGAAGCTTCAGCTGCTTGGCCTTCTAACACAATGAGCAGATGACCCTTTCAAGCAAATTGTGAAGGGGGGGACAACTCTAACCGCTAATTAGTTCAGCAAATATAATGTTATTGATGACAATGCATGGAATAACAAGTTCAAGCTGCTATGAAGGGCTCAGTGAATTTCCCATTTATATCAAGCTGACCAGGAAGGGGATTTTCAAAGGAACATTAAAGAAACATTTTTGGATAATTTCTACACCATCATTTTTCTTCAAAGTTATAACTATAGCCTTCTGAGATGGGGCACAAACTCTCCCACTTTTTTCATTCTGAAGTAATTATGCCTTGTATGTCTGGTGTCTGTTACAAACAGCTTCCATGTACACAATAATGATGAAAGCTATAAATGATAATTACTGGCAAATCTTATATGCTAATAGCAGTAATATTAACACAACATTACTTGGAGGCTAAACATGTTATAAAAATAGGGAGCCACTAACTGCTTAGGGGCCATGTGAACATTTGGGGATGAGAACTTTAACTGGACCTTTCACTCAGCATTATCAGCATAGTATTATGTGTGATGGAGTGTTACTGAATACACCCTACCATTATAAATAATAGTTCACCACTCTTTTTACAGTGTCATGAATGTGTACATGAACCTGTATATTTTTCGAGTATTGCATAAGAAATATTCTCTGAAAAGTATGACCAAGCAACATACCAATCTCTTATATACTCTCACAAATGGCATAACACAAATAACTTAAATTCCCAAAACAAACTTGAATTGTTATACATACATACCCATCACGAATGGATGTAACATCATTAAAAAAATAATTATGACATAATTTAATTTTCTTTTATTCCCCGATCTCTTTTAAAAGAAACTATTTACTGTATTATTACATAAAACTGTGCAAAAATGGCCAGGCTTGCCGATATTTAGATACAACTTACTATATTTTTACACATATTAGCATAATTATCAAACTATAAAATCAAAATCCAATACCATTTCATCATATATTTTCTGGTTCTATTTGTGGGCATACACATATATTGTTAAAAGGAATAATTAGCTATATTTTAAAATATCATTAGATATTGCAAGAAAGTCATATTTCAAGTTGAGCAGTAACCATTTCTGGGAATGAATGAATCATTATGAATAAAAATGAATGAAAAAACACCTGACACCTAAATTCAGCATCCACAACCAGGAACATTAATTGGTCGCTCACTTACTTTTTTAAGCTAGTAGAGTAATTACAGTAAAGCGTATGAAAATGAATTCTATTTCGTTTCAGTTTCACGTTTCTACATTTTCTGCGCTGCTATATTTAGCTATTATGGCGGACATCGACTATGGAGCGCTGCCATTGGCATTTTTTGCGATCAGTAGTTAAAATAAAGGACACGAGTTGTGCAGCTGATTTTGATCTTGATAATTGTTTGTCGATTAAATACATAGTTGACAGTAAGACGTATAATTCTCCATATTAGTTATCCCAGTTCTGGTCGCAACACACAATAGGTTTCTTTATACTTCTCGTGGTGGAACATACATATATGTAAATGGTTATATGTTTATTGTGAACAGAAGAAAAAGGGAAAATGGATCTCGTGGAGATGCATTCAGAACGACTGCATATCAGTCTTAAAGAACCACTAAACTTTGTTTTTTGTTACTCTTTTAACCATTACATATGAAAGATTTGTGGTTAGTCTTATGCGGAACACCAAATTTATTCTTTGAAAACTTGTGGTTAATTAATACCGAGCGATTAAAAGTGGCCAAAAAGTCGCCTGCTTCCCTCTCGCCCGCCAACGAAACCACAGACAGGTTACGTAACTCTGTCGCCAGAGCACTGCAGTGACGTCATATGAGGAACGATTTTCAGTTAGTTGTATAGAAAGTGTGTAGCACGCTCATCATTTTGATGATTTCTCGACATCAACGACGACATGCCGAATCGTTGCTTTGTCGTCAATTGCTCCTAGGGGTCGGGTGATGGTGTCACCATGCACAGATTTCCACAGGACCCCGCAGTTCGTGCTAAATGGGTTATGTTTGTGAGTGCGAAGCGAGCGTTGTGGAAGCCTGAAATGATATCTTACTTGTGTTCAGATCGCTTCACGGAAGTTAAAGAATCAAAACTACTTACTAGTTATAGTAAAATATGTATATGATTGATGACCATAAAGATTCTCCATAACACAACTTGTAACATAACGGTTTCTTCCTCGGAAGTAAGGTTGTGGTCGAAGTAACAATAATATTGTAAGTAGTATTATATTGACACCCACCTCGCTGCCGGGAGAGAAATTGTTATGTTATACGCTATGTCATGCAAAATCCTATTGGCCATCAATAAAATACATATTTTACTACCAGTAGAAAGTAGTTTTGATTTTGTAACTCGGTGAAAACAAACCTAAATAGCATTTATCCACAGACTGGCGGATGTTCCCGACAGAGTCGCCGCCATTTTGAAAATCGTAAAGTCTGTTAGAATTAATGAGATTATAGTTTGTTTTCATCAAGTTAGAAAATCAAAACTACTTTCTACTCGTAGTTAAATATGTATTGGAATCATAACCAAAAGGATTTTGCATGACACAACTTATAACATAACGATTACTTCCACGGAAGCGAGGTGGGGGGTCGAAGTCACAATACTGCGCGATAAATTTCTTGCTACATTCACATGGTTAATGTCCACTCACCAGTATGTAGATACTAGTCAATGTGCGTCTTTATATTTGGTCTTATAATCCTAATTAGTTTATTATCATACTTTTATGCATATTGAAACTAAATAAAAAGCTGACGATCTGCTGATACTTATAGTGAATTTATAACAGAACTGTAATATCTAGACATTTTATAGTTTGCCAATGTGAATCATAATTCGCACACACACCCTAGTGTATGTTGTCTGTCTCATTACACTTCACAGCGAAAACAATGATTCTGTTGAATGCTACGACAAATGAATAAAAAACAAAATGTAAATATTAAAATTAAAACAGATTAAAGTTATAGGAACAATATCAGGCCATTACCTTGTTTGAGGAATGTATCCATCAATATCCACAAAACTGTTCCAAATGATGTGTCTTTTAACAGTTTAATATACGAAAAAAGTGATAAATCTTTTCAGGTATTGGTGTATAGTCTCATTGGTCACCCAAGATAGCACACCTGGCAACTAATTGCATAATGTCCCCCTTTCATTAAAACAGTAATTTAGTTAGCCAGTAATGGGCAATCAATCAATGTATTGCCGGTTAATCCTTTGAAAGAAGGACGTTGTTTTTACGCAGACACCGACACGGCAGAGTGTATTCAGTATAGATTAGTAAATCTACATACATAAACACTACCTTATGACAATTCCGCTGTGTAAGATAAAAGTAATTAATCAATCAGCGTGTTATCGGTTAATCCTTTGATCGATGTTTATAATGTTGAATATTTACTCCAGACACAAGAAATGCCAAATGGGAACCTTTGTCGGGTAATCTAAGTGTGTTACCACTAATTACACCTGTTATAATTTCATTAACTGACCATCAAGTGAATGATGACAAATAACATGTGTAGGCCCCTAACACGGGTTACAACAAGGGAGTATTAATTGCTGTATTGCATGTGAAAACTTATGGGCCGACACTGTTTTGAGAATACAAAAAGATTTTTACATGACATGATTAAATATCGAGGTAAAAAAACACAGAAAAGGGATCAAATTGGATCAGTCATTATACAAATAGGGCCTAACGACACCAATCAATTGTGACAGAAGCGTCTATGAAAACAAGTTGTAACTCGGAAACTAGGCAAAGCAGGAGACAAAATTAAATGCCAGTAGATTGTGAGAACATATAGCTTTCATTTTCCACAACAATTGTTACGATTTCAGGTTTATACAAGCCTGTAAACAAGATAATTTACCCCCTAAAATGTAGATGAATTCTGCATCGGCCCTCAAAGCTATTCCTCATATGACGTCACAGAGTCGCGCCGCTCTGATTGGTTGAAATTTCGTTCGCGGGTGAGTATTGTGCACTGTTGTCAAAAAGGTCGATTTAAGTCAATTAAAGGTCGAAATGAGTAGTTTTAATGACGAGGTTTCATTTATAACGATGCCAGGTAGTGATTTATATATTTTTACCCCCTAGGGTTTATGTGACCTTTAACAGTGAACGACATAATTTCCCAAGTACCTGGAGACCACAACCACGGACCTGTACACAGCGAAGTCAAAGTGAATCTTTTCGACTGTACCAAAAATACTGACGGCCCCCGCACAAACAACAACCTCCGGGGTTGCAATTGGCATGGCCGTCTCATGAAGGTTGTGGTAAAACAACATCCCACCCTATTCGAGATGGCCAAGTTCCTGGAAGATGAACAAGGACTGAACGAGGCAAAGATGCTTCAGTACAATGCCGGCCAAAGACTGTCCCCAAATAGAAGTACAGAGATTTGGAGGAACGACTAGATACCTTGAAGTTCAGGCTTGCAAATAACCACCCGACATTGATGGAGTACCTGGACAATGACAGATAGACAGACAGACAGTCACACAGGCTTTATTCAGTAGTTAAGGCCCAGTGGCCCACAGTACAATTGAAGTTACTCAATTACAACTATTGGTCACGTGACATTAAATTATGATTTTACATGTGATTTACGGATGGACATCAAATGTTTCATAAAAATGGCAACAGATTTAATAATATCAGCATTATTAGAATTAAGTACATTGAATATCGTTTGTGGGGCATCATTAGTGCATTTTAAATACTTCTTTCGGCAGGCAGAGAAAGTCTTACAGACTAATAATAAGTGTCGTTCGTCTTCAGTTTTACCAGAAGAACAATAAGAACATGATGAATCTTCCAATGTATTGTTATCTTTTCTAAAACGTTGTATTTTTAAGGCATGAAGAGAGATTTTAAATTTGCAAAAAAAAAAAATCTTAAAGGGACTTATCATTAAGAACACTGACATATTTTGCAGGTCGAACATCGATTTACATTGTGAATAATGACTAAGAAAACTGGATGAATTGACTGATGCGTATCAACTCTGAATATATATCTTTTATTCGTTGTTTAAATGTTGACAAAACATTTTTATATCACCAACATTTTGCTTAAATCAAACATTAGAAAAATCGCTTGAAAATAACATATTTCTCACATCTGAAGCCCATGAATACTTTCCACATTTATCCAGTGATAACAATATTTGACAGCTTTGATGGGGTAGCGATAATCAGGCATTCTTATAAGTTTAATCCAGTATCTAATAACTCTCATTTGACTCTCAATATGCATGTTATAGCATCCTGTTTCGCCAAGTATGGCTTTATTGGAAGCAAATATACCTTCTGTAAGAAATCTTTTAAAATAAGATGCATGGACATTTTCAATGGCTTCGAAATAATTTGCTCCCCATATTATATGGGAAATTATGACATGATTATATATGTTAAAAGAAATATACTAAATCACAACCTTTTGTAATATGTTATAAAGGATCAAAGAAAGTATACATTTACACACACACACATTCTTATTCTAAACCGTAAACAACACCATCCCAAATCCGATAGCCAGCGCGTATGCATATGCTTAAATTTGCTAGTACACATGAACGGCAAAATGGTATTATATCTACTAGTACCTAAATACTTCTTTATAGAGTCGCAAAGCGTAGTATTTTAAGCAAACACGTTGCTCGAAGTGAAGCCTTCATTTCTATATATTCTCAACAAACACACTGTGTCACAAGCGTTCGGTCTGGGTTGGCTCGAGTCGTCAAAAGCACCTAACACCTCAAAGGTGTATCTTTAATTGTGCTTAAATCCATAGATTAGTATTATATCTACCTACATATCACATTGAAATGTTACAAAATGCCACATGTAAAGGTAACTGCTCCGTTAAAGTGAAGCCCTTGTCTGCCCACCCTCAAAATAGCCTCAATCATAAGTGTTCAGTCTGTTCGGCCCGACTTGGCCCGGGCTGTCAAAAGCAACTTAAACCTCACACATGTATCTTGAAATGTGTTTAAATCCATAGATCATTATTATATCTACCTAAATGCCACATTGTGATGTTACAAAGAAAACTGGGTCTATAAAGTGGTATTTAGATAGATATAACTATATTCGTGGATGTAAACAGAATCTAGGATTCATCTGTGAGACTTCAAGATACATGTGCGAGGTTTAAGTTGCTTTTGACAGCTCCCGGCCAAGTGCGGCCAACAGAAACTTAACACTTTTGATTGAGGCTATGTTGAAAATAGAGAGTGAGTGAGTGAGTGAGTTTAGTTTTACGCCGCACTCAGCAATATTCCAGCTATATGGCGGCGGTCTGTAAATAATCGAGTATGAACCAGACAATCCAGTGATCAACAGCATGAACATCGATCTGCGCATTTCGGAACCGATGACATACGTCAACCAAGTCAGCGAGTCTGACCACCCGCTCCCGTTACGACAAGCATGGGTTACTGAAGGCACTTTCTAATCCGGACCTTCACGGGTGAAAATGCAGAGAGGAAGGTGAGTGAGTGAGTGAGTTTGGTTTAACGCCGCTTTTAGCAATATTCCAGCAATATCACGGCGGGGGACACCAGAAATGAGCTGCAGAGAGGAAGGGGCTGGAAAAGTGATATATAGGTAGATGTAATACTAATCTGTGAATTAAAACGCGATTCAAGATACATGTGTGAGGTTTAAGCTGCTTTTGACGGCCCGAGGTATGCCGGACCGAACAATAGTGGCGGTGATTATGTTTAGAGTGTGGGGAAGAGATCGTTTCATTTGAAGATGGGTATGCCTTACATACAATGAACAGTGGCCTTCTAGGGTGGTATTTGATTGGATATAGGTGTAAAAACATTTTCGGGTGGACAGAAATGTTTATCGGGAGTGACTGAAGCATTTTTTGCGTTTTAAATCCTGTTTCGTTTAACGATTCTTCTTTTAGACGTAACCTTGGTCAGCCACGTTCAGAGGCCGATAACCACTCGATATAGTCCGACGTCGCCCACGACGTCGCTCACGACGTCGCCCACGACGTCGTCCACGACGTCGTTCACGACGTCGCCCACGACGTCGCCCGTTATTTTTGTAGCCAAAATATATTTTACAAAGCGCGACGTCGTCTTTTTTATGCGACGTCGTGGGCGACGTCGCCCACGACGTAGTTCTTTTTTTACGCGCCACGCGATGGCAATTATAGGACACCATAGAGATGTGTTTGCCATGTTTCGAACATTCTCTGATTTTACTGGGATATATACATGGAAGTATCAGTGGAAGGCGATGGCAAAAAAAAAAAGACAGAAGTTGTTTGTAGTCCTGTTGATGTCTCATTCCGGTTTTAACATAGCCCTACAGCTCTTCAACTTTGTAAGGCTACTTTTCGTGATATCCTGGAACAAATTAGCAACGGGGACGGAGATGGTTAAATTTACCTACTGCGTAACCTATTTGTTCACTTTAGGAATGAATGTCGTTTGTATTACATCTGCTAGAAATAACTGGGATTTGCTCATTCAGAAGTTACATGAAGTCAAAGGAACTGTTGGACGGAGATTGGTCAAGTTGTACAAGTTCCTGTTGAGTATTGCGGTGGTGTTGGCTGCGGGACATTCGGCTTATATCTACACGTCACTGTCCAGGGTGAAGTCTGGCATGGACATTCTCACAATGTGTCGAATGGCCCCAGTTACCCCGGACATGTTTATCTGGAACATCCTCACTCTGATGTACGTCTTCATGAACATGTTCATGATAACCAGAGTAGTTTACTTACTAACGTTCTACTTTCTTGCTGCCTATCACATCGT